GTTTTATGACAAAAAGGTCATTCTATAAGGCACAAGAAATTAAATGCAAAGTGAAAAATTAAAAATTGTGAAGAAAAAAAAAGCATTGGTGAACTCTAAAAAAGATGGAACAAGAAATGTACAGCCGACATAGTTTTATGCAAGCAAAAGAGAACCATAGTTGTGCTACAGAAGGAGTACGATTGCTTTGAGACTACTTTGAGTGGGTGGGTTAGTAGTCTAAAGATATAGGAGGACAAAAAGTAGAATAGTTCTGTAATTAGACATAATAGGATTTCAGCTAAGCATCAATCAAACTTGCATCAAACCTCAATTTGTTTTGAACTATTTCAAGTTTTTTTTTTGTAAAACTATTTCAAGTTATTAATTACTACTCCTATACTGCACTTTCTGATCTTTGTTAGTTTGTCATTCAACTTTATTAATGTATTTATCAAGCCTACCGTTAATTAAACTTTAAGAGTTACTTTACTATTTTACTTCACTGAATATTTACATTTTATTTAGGAAAAATTATTATAGATTTCATTCTTCGTACTTTTTTATTTATTTTGATTTTTATTTAACCTAGATCAGTGGAAGACCATCACATTGAAAACGAGGCAATAGACAGTGAAGGGGGAGATCAAAGTAGGACAAACCAGTGCACATTAAAAGGGGAAAAACTGAAATCCGATGTGTGGGATGATATGGAGAGAGATGTTTTGGATAATGGGGTGATTCGAGCTACATGTAAGCACTGTAAGAAAATCTTTACTGCCAATTCTAAGAGTGGAACTTCTCATTTGAAAAGACATGTGTCTCATTGTGCTGCACGTAAGCATAATAACATCAGAAACTTTTGTATTGTTGGTGATTCTACTATAGAATGTGACACAAAAATTGCGAATACCATGTCTTTAAGTAGGCCTTTTCCTAGCCCCTCTGCCATTCGTGAAGCTATTTCTGTTCTTTTTGTGTCATGTGCATTACCATTTACACTTGTTGAAGCACCTGGTTTTAAGAATTTCATGAGTGTTGTTGCACCTCAGTTTCATCAGGTAAGTAGAGCGACCGTTAAAAGAGATTCGGATGTCCCCCGCATTATGGCGGGAAACCAAGATCTTGGCGGGAAGCGCATTTAATGCTGAAGATTTGGTGGTTGGAATCATGTCGCCCACAGCCGGCCACATCAGCCCCCCAACCACTAGGGTGTACTATAAATAGCCGCATTTATTTCATTGTAAAGGGTTCGCACATCGTTACTCTAGAGTTGTAATAGCGTCAGCAGTACGTAGCTTATTTTCGGTACGTTCGGCCTTGTGGCTTGTAATCACAATATTGAAGGAAACAGTCATTTAATTCATCCCCGTTGATTTAGTGAGTTCATTTGCTTTCCACCCATTCGAAACCTCAGGTTACGTGTTGGGCCTGCAGGTTGAGGGAAATAAACCTCAACAACCACATATGTACCCCATTAGTGTAACTCATGTCATGAGCATACCCATCTAACTCAAACTTACTAAGGTAGTCTGTGTCCACATTTTCCATTTTCTTGACCTCACCTCCCAAATATTGTTTCTTCTTCTTCGGACAATCCCATTTCCCACCATGGTGAATCCACAAGTTGACGTGCTCATCGTCCATTCCCAGCCTCTACAAAAAATCACAAAAACAACCACAACTAAAACTTCACCAAACTAACTTCATCCCTAGCTTTAACCACGCCACACGCAATAAAGAAACCCAAATACTACTCCCTTTAACCTATGTATAACGACAACGGTGAAGTAAGTTTCGTGAGTATTCAACTTACCTGAAGAGTAGCTGCAAGAATTTTTGAGTGAGCTTCTTCTTCCTTCCGCACACAAACCGCGCCCTAATTTGTCGTGTGGTGTTCTATAAACCGCACTTAACTGATATAATCAGCTAATTCAAATTTGATTCTGACGTGGATAAAATTCCCCCACGCGGCAGCCATTTTTGGATATTTAATGGGCCACGTCATTATTTCGTAACGGAAATGGACTGAGGCCCCTGTGGCGCTAACGGAAGTGAACCACGAATATTAGTTTGGTAAAAAGTGAAACTCATGACCCTCTCCGCAAATGGCCTCAACCACAGGTAGGTTGTCCGTACTTTTCCCTATTGTATATATAAATATATAATGAATACTTTAACTCTTTAATAAAACTCATGTTTTATAGTGTTATAACTTTTTCATTTGTCCAGTTTACGATCATTTTTTTCGTGCACACTATTAATCTAGAGTGATACCTTAGAAGTAAAATTGCAAAATTTCCAGTGCAAATAATAAAATAATAAATAAAAGTAATAGAATTTGTGCAGTTTTATTATAAGTTCTCGCTTCAGATTAATAGTGCTCACGGTAAAAAAAGATCATAAACGACATACATTAATAGAATTTATATTTTTTTATTTATATACTCCTTCTGTCTCTTAAAACATTGTCAAGTTTGATCGGCATAGAGAATAATAAAGTAAAAAACTGTGTAATTTAAAGTTGTGCGGAGGAGAGAGATGAAATAAAAGGAACTACAAGTTAAATGATTAAAAGAGAAAATGGAAAAGTTTTTGAGACAATAAAAAAGAAAAGATGGGAAAGTTTTAAGGGACGGAGAAAGTATATGCAATATTAGTGCCGTATGAATGATAATGAAAATTTGTGATTTGTGATATAATTTTTGTAACAATTGGAGTACAAATAAAAAAGTTATATCACTTTAAAATCATATGCTTTTTAAAGTGTTAATTTATTTTTTATTTATATATGAAATATTAGTGTCATATGAAAGATAATAAAAAGGTATAATTTTGATTTTTTTGTAATAATCGAAGTACAATTAAAAAAGTTATTATTGGTAAATACTTGAGCAGAATAATTTCCTCTCTAATATATAACGCTTTTAGGTATACTAGATGAGCAGAATAATAATTGAGTGGGGACATTTCCTCTCATATATGTAGTGCTTTTAGGTATAAGAAAAGATAAACAGACTAATAATTGTACAAGCGAATTTCATCTCTCATATGTAATGCTTTTAAGTATAGCATTGGCGTATTAATAATTGAACATGAGAATTTTTTCTCTTAAACGTAGTATTTTTATGTATAAAGTAAGCGGACTAATAATTGAGCGGGAGAATTCTCTCTCTCATACACAGTACTCTTAGATACTCCGTATAAAATAAGCGGACAAATAACTGAGTGGGAGAATTTTCTCACTCATGTGCAATGCTTTTTGGTATAAGATAAGATAAGTGGACAAATAATTCAGCGGAAAAATTTTCTCTCTTACGTGTATGTAGTGCTTTTTGGAATAAGAAGATAAGCGAGCTAATAATTGAACGAAAAAAAATTCTCTCTCATATGAAGTGCTTTTACGTATAATATATGCGGATTAATAATTGAACGGGAAAATTTTCTCTCTCATATGTATTACTTTTAAGTATAAGGTAAGCCGTAAGCGGACTTATAATTGAGCGGGATAATTCTCTCTCTCTCTCTCTCTCTCTCTCTCTCTCTCATATTTAGTATTTTTATATATAAGATAAGCGAACTAATAATTGAGCGTGAAAATTTTTTCTCTCGTCTGTAGTGCCTTTTGGTATAAGATACGTAGTATTCTTATGTATAAAGTAAGCGGACTAATAATTGAGCGGGAGAATTCACTCTCTCATACGCAGTACTCTCAAACACTTCGTATAAGATAAGCGGACAAATAACTGAGCGGGAGAATTTTCTCTCTCACGTGTAGTGCGGTTTTAATGTAGTTTCTGAATACGTAAATTTTATTTACTAAAAATAAGCGGAGTGTGAACAAGGATCGAGTTGCTTTATCGTCAGTCAAGCATCGTAAACCGAACGGGAACATTCCAACGGGACGGAGGGAGTATAAGATAAGATAAGCGAACAAATAATTGAGCGGAAGAATATTCTCTCTTACGTGTATCTAATGTTTTTTGGTATAAGAAGACAAGCGGGCTAATAATTGAACGAAAAATTTTTCTCTCTCTCATATGAAGTGCTTTTACGTACGTATAATATAAGCGGATTAATAATTGAATGTGAAAATTTTCTCTCTCATATGTATTACTCTTAAGTATAAGGTAAGCGGACTAATAATTGAGCGAGAGAATTTTCTCTCATATTTAATATTTTTAAGATAAGCGAACTAATAATTGAGCGGAAAAATTTTCTCTCTCATCTGTAGTGCTTTTTAGTACTCCGTGTAAGATAATATAGGCAGACTAATGATGGATCTGGATATTTTCTGTTTCAAAACCCTATTAATTAAGTTCAATATTTTATTATTTGTTGCCAACAATGTTAATTATTACGTATCAAATTCTAATGGATAGTGTTGATTTTTTTACATTAATTTTCTTTTACTTTGATTATTTGTGGTATGGATTTATACTCCGTATAAGATAATATAGGCAGACTAATGATGGACCTGGATATTTTCTGTCTCAAAACCCTCTTGTTTCTTTTATCGTTTATCTTCCTTATCTTTTTATATTCTTATGTTATTTTTATCTTTTAGTTTTTTTATGTTCTTTTATTTATTTTTCTTTTATCTTGGTTATATTCTTGTGTTATTGTTATCTTATATTTATGTATCTTTATTTTATTCATTTTATCTTACTTTTTTATTCCTTTCTTTATCCGTCTTCTCTTTTTGGCATCGATATCATAGATCGATTCATGTTAGGCGACCCCAAATTCTTTTGGGATTAAGGCTTGGATGTTGTTGTTGTAATCAGTTTTTTTAGAAGCTGAAGGTGACCGGCTTCTGAAAACTGATCCTGATTCTGCTTCTGTTTCTGATTTAAAAATGAAGAAAAAACAAAATCAGTTCCAAACACCCCTATAGAATTCTAAAAAAACATTTTTATATTTAATTAGATTATAAACATTAATATATAAGGATAGATAATGATGACCAAAAGTGGCAAAAAATGTTTGAAAATTCAAAAACGCTCATAGTTTAAGCTATTAAGGTCTGTTTGGGATAGTGGCAAATAAAAGTTCAGCAACCAAAGGAACCCGACGGTCGAAGATTTGAAAACCGCTGCTCTACCGAATTTCCAAACAAATCCGAGCACGAGTCTAGTGTCTGCCTCATCGTGGAGCTTCCCTCTCGTCTCACCCTGCTTACTCTTCACCCTCCTTTTGCAGAAAGTGCCGCCCAATCATCGGTATCGTTGGATTATCCTCCGCCAATTTCTCCACAGGTTTGCAAGTACCACCCTCCAGCGTTTGATTTTGCGTGTCAATTTCTTGATTCTGCTCTGATAGTTTTGATTATTATGTGCCGGACGGCAAGTATAAGTAGATGCATGTAAACATATGCAATTGTTGTTAGTGTAAAGAAGTGGGTCTGATTGCGCTATGTTGTTTCCTTTGTATTCGTGTCCATGATTTTACCTGTGATCATTTGGCATTTCAAATTGAGATTTTCTACATATAAAGTAAACCAGTAAAATGTTTCCAGGACCAAATTAACCAGAGTAGTATGCTGAGGAGGTGTACCAATCACCCCAGAGCTGATCCTGATGATGTTGTCCTGATTGACATTGAAAGTAATGACGTTGACAATGTCATTGTTATCGAAGACCCTGAGGACTCTGAAGGAGATATTCAACAGACGATCATTTCGAGTGAATCCAAAGGGCACCTGCATAAAAACATAATTTGTTTAACTGATGATGATAGTGATGCAGACAGCGATTTCAACTGGAGTAAAGAAAGGTCCTCTCAAACCTCTAACAGGAGGATGATGCGAGATGAAAATAGAGATGATTGTGAATTTGTTCGAGAAAGCAAAGCTCCATTGAAGCTATCAAAATGCCGAAGAACTTGCTCTGGGAGAAGTGCTTCCCGTCACAATAGGTATGGCTTGAGCTCTGATTCAGAGACCAGCTTATCTGATTCTGATAGTGAGTTGATCGTGGATTCTTTTGGAAAGCTTCAGGAAGACTGGGAGAAAGCTTCCTGTAGGAGGAAATATCGTAACCAGAATGCTCAGTCTGGTGTTAACGGGATTGAAAGTACATCAAGAGCTGAATTACAACATGAGAGAGGGCATGCTTGTAATGACAGTTCCAGCTCTTCCAGTTTGAGAAATGAAGGTAGGCAAAACCCTTATGGGGTTTCCTCATTTTATAAGAATTGTGCCGATGATTTGGATATTGATTTTCAAGATAAAGTTAATAACCTATCATCTGAACCCTGTGCATCAAAATCTTTGTCTTATGGTGTCAAAAGCTCCAGTCACATAAATTGCAGTTCACTTGGTAAAGGAGATTGCTTAGATGAAGATAGATGTTCCTCTAGTGGCTTAGATGGTAATGATGCCTACCGTGGCAGCTATTATACCACCAATTACAACTCTCAGTTTACCAAAGAGTCAACCCATGAATGCAGTAGCTCTGAGGAGAAGATTTCATTTTCTGGAGGCTTTGCATTTGAAAATCATGAGTCGTGCTATGAACATAATAATAATGGTCACATTCTTTTGGTCAACAAATTAAGCCCTAGTCCAGGTGAAACCTGTAGTAGGAATATATCATGCTGTGAAGGAATCAGCACGGGAAAAGAGCATATCAAAGGAATTGATGAAACCGTACTTGAGGGTAATGGTTGTTCGTTGATTACTGAAAAGGAAAGGCTTAAAGAAACGGATGAATACAAAAAGGCGCTCGAGGAAGAACTGGCTTCAAGGCAGCGGGCAATACAGATTCAGGTGTGTTATTGTACTTCTTTCTAATTCTTGGTTAGAAGTTGGGACACTAGTCATGGAACTTGATAACCTTTATATATAAATTCTTTTACATTGATAATGTCATTCAGATGCCATTATCTCACATGCTCCTGCATATATGATTCGTTTAGACTTTAGATCCTTCAGGACCCAGATAATATCTGAAGTTTCCGGGTTCATGATTTAATTTCCTTTAGTTCAGGGGATGTCCTGACAGTTATAACTATTTCAGTATCTTTCATTTGCATGGTTTTTTTAGTAAATGTCAGTTTATGTGAGAGAGAAACATTTAGCTTTTCTCTTCAACTGTAATGTGAACCCAACCTCCATGTTTTTTTCGGTTTTTTTTATTGTAGCATGGAAGACTTGGTGACTAATATTTATGAAGTATATCTTAACTTGATTTATTTAGAGGCTATTTTATAGTCGAGTTCTTTTTGTGTATGATGGGAGGACGGAAAAGTATCTATATATATTCTTTTCAAAATGCATGCATGCATGGGTTTATACACAAGAATATTGGAGTATCATAACATCAGCTCAGCTTCAACCAAGCCTGACTTCAGCTACCCTACAACTAATTATAACTAACTGTGGCATTATTTTCCATTTAACAATGCCATTATATTCTATTAAATTGAGAATGAAGTATGTTACTTCTTGGGTTGGATGAGAGTATGACTTTGGAAGGAGTGAAGTGGAGGCAGATTAATCGGGGTGGAGGATTGAGTGCATTTCATCTTTTCTATTTCCGCCATCGGTGTTGATGAGTTAACTGTTACCGGTCACTATTGCCGCCGTCAGTGTCAGTGTCGCCGTGAAAATCTCACTGTGATCGTTGGAAAATTTTCTTGGGAACTTTTTCCGGTGAAAACTAAAAAGCTGGAAAATTCCGACGGCTTTGTCTGGCGGCTTTTAAAAAAACTGGAAAAAAATTAAAAGAAAAGAAAAGTGTATTAATTAATTAAAGATTAGTCACATTTTTTGAAAAATGAAAACTAGTCATATTTTTGTGTATAGGTAATATTTTTTCCATTTCTCCTTTTATTTTTGTATCTTTCTTTTTATCTAATCTTATCTTTTTATTTTCTTTTTTATATCTTTTTAGCTCCGATTTCATATGTCGATTCAGGTCAGCTGAACCCCAAACTCTTTTGGGGCAAAGGCTTGGATGTTGTTGTTGTGAGAATGAATTATGTTACATGAATTGCCCCAATGAATTATCCTACTTGGTTGCTTCATTGGTATACATTTATGCTATTCTCATGACATTCAATCTTCATCTTTATAGCTTTTAGTTGTTAATATTTTTGTAAACTCAGGCTGAAGAAGCGCAACAACTGCGACGGTTGGTGAAGAGAAAGAAAGCAGAAAGAATGCGTTTATTAGACATGGAGAGAAGGCAAAAAGAGCGTTTGGATGAAATGAGAGAGACACAGAAGAAGGTCAGCAATCCGTGAATGTGTTATCTAACAAATTATACTGCATTCTTCCATTTTTGTGTTCCTTATGTCCCCATCCATCCTAGCAGTAAGATCCAGTGGGCATTTTTTAGGTGATGGCATTCAAGGGAGGGGGTAATATCCTTTATATTTTACTGAACACAACTTTGTTTCTGCTTGGTACATCTCAGGATGAAGAGAATATGAACACAAAGGACGTGATTCGCAATCAAGTTAGAAGAGAACTTAGGAAAATTGAAGCTACATGCCATGACATGGCATCTGTGTTGCAGGGCTTGGGCATTGTAGTTGGTAGCAGCCCTTCTCCACATTTAAATGAGGTAGGGAGTACCTTCCTTCTCTAAATTTCCTTCTCTGTTTTTGAACTGCCTCTACATTTTTTATTCTTAAAGATTGTTCCATTTTATCACTTCTTCAATTTTTATTTTACCTGCCCGCCATATAGGCAGTCATAAAGAAACCAACTAGTCATATTTTACTGTCTTATGATCCTATGTCATATTTGCTGAAATCAACTAGTCGGAAGTTTACTTGTGAAGTCTTAAATGGGTTTCCAACCCGGCAGATGTAGCGTTTTATTTTAAGAAATTGCCAAACAAACACCACCTTTGGCACCAACATCGTTTCTGCTCTGATAGAAATTATTATCCTCTTCTGCGTGGGAGTTGGAAATGAAGGTGGTGTCTCATTCAAACATGTTGCTATTATCTTTTTCGTGACCCTGGCAAGTGTCAATTATGCTACAAAAAGTTACTGAGCTCATAGGACTCCAAACTTTCCATTTCATCTCTTCTTTCAAATATAATGGCTTGAGATGGTTCGTTTCCAGTGAGCTAGAGAAACATATGATGGAGGTAGAATGGTGACTTGTGAAAATCTTAGCAATGCTTAATTGCCTATGAAAAGTTTTCTTTGTGTGCAAACTTGCTCTTTCTCCTTATTTCTAATCATGTATGTGTGTGTTGATGTACATATACGAACATGGAAGATAATGTGCAAGAAACCAATGGTTTTTTCAGGTACGTACAGCCTACAAGAAAGCCTTATTGACCTTCCACCCCGATCGGGCTTCAAGAGGGGATATTCGTCAGCAGGTTGAAGCTGAAGAGAAATTTAAGCTTATCTCCCGCATGAAGGAGAAATATTTGCCAAACCTATGACGTCACACCTTGCACATATATGATATCAAACTATAGTAATTTTGATTACCAGTGAAACCTTGTACTTGGTATTAGTTTTCAATCGGTTACAAGATATCAACTAAAAGCTCATTTCAACTATATTGTTCGTAGCCGTTAGGATGCTGGAATTTGGAATTATAGAGTTAGAATTCCCAGGAGTTGGAATTGAGTTGGAAAACTAATTGTTGTATAAGTTATTCCGTGCAACTAAATTTTATTCATCGTCTCCTCTTTCCTTTTGGATTTGTTCTACTAAGATTGTTTTATGTAAAATTTGATAAAGTTTGTGTAATTCTAAATTATTTTTGCTTTATTCTTATTTTATCAATTCAATATCACCTTTGTATGCCCCAGTGTTAGTGTGATCAATATAGTACTTTTAGAACTTTTGAGTCAACTAGAGAAGGAAAATTTTGGCACGTAAAGTTTATTGAAATGTCTAAAACACTTTAGTGGGTTCAATATCTAATATCTATTAATGTTTTCTAATTCGAGTTATATTTTGTTATAAAATTGATGATGCTAAAAGATTTTTGTTCCAATTTAGATTAGGTTAGATTTTTTTGAAAATAGACCAGACTAGACTTTGATAGTTTTAAAACACTTATACATTAGACATCAATAGATCACTTCAAGTAAAAACATTTTAAAGCTAAAAAAAAGGATGACACTTCATCCCTGAGGGGCCCCCAACCCCGACCGGACGGTACGTTGGGAGGATGTAAATTGGACTATAATCCCAATCTGATAGATAAAGAGTGGGGCTCTGTCCTTGGTACTTGCAGAGGCCCTATGCATTTTTAGCATAGTAACCCTTCATCGCAGTTGCCATAAATAAGGGTTTTGACATAAATATTGCTAAGAAAGTGTAAAAAAGAGGCTTTTTTTAATTTCCATAGTCATTTTCCCTATAACATCTTGAAATGTAACTGTAACACCTTGAAATATCACTGCCGCCTACGGGCTACGGCTAGTTAACCTTGCACCACTCCCCCACTAGTCATTTTCCTTGTAACACCTTGAAATGTAAATGTAACACTGTAATACTTGAAATTTAATTGAAAAGGTTTAATAGTACTACTCATACCAACAGAGATGCATCTTCTTTTAAGGGAGCTGATCATCCAAGAACTCCAAAGTTAAGCGTGCACAGGAGTAGTATTGGGATGGGTAAAGGCTTGTGGTGGTTTGTGAGCATAGTATAGAGGTCTGGATGGTAGAGGTTAGGAGTAATTACCCTGGGTCCTGTGGGGTCGGGGTATCACAGGTGGTATCAGAGCAACCCTGTCACAGTGTATTGATCTGTTGGATATTCGGCAGGCACTTAGCGGGGGGTGATTGTAATGCTTGAAATTTAATTGAAAAAAATTAATAGTACTACTCATATCCACAAATGTGCATCTCCATTTAAGAGAGCTCATCATCCAAGAACCTTGAAATATCACTGTAATACCTTAAAATTCGGCTAGATCAAATTGGGTTTGATTTGAGAACAATATGGAATATTAATTAATTCATTTTAATCTTTATTATTTGGTTATATTTATATAACCATTAATGAACAAGAAATACTATTAGCTTAATGATTAAGTAAAGAAATTGAAAGAAAGGTTTGAATTCAAAGGTCGTGTGTTCAAATTCTCTCTTGATCTGAGGACAAGAGGAACCGAGGATTTAGCATCTTCGTCAATGGAAAAGATCGAACTCAAATTCTCACAAGGATCAGTAATCCTTGATGCTTGAAACAAAGAACCATCATCGAATGCTCTTGATAATGATATGCAAGATGCTCAACCAACCAAGACAGCAAAAATATGCATAAAAATGAGGTGTTTTTCAATAATTTAGTTAACTCACTTATAAATTGAATGTTAAACTGAAATTTTTTGGACTTAAACACTTCATAAAGAACATATTCATAAATTTTCATCAAAAAAATCCACTTGAAAACACCTATTCGAAAGTGTTGGAAACTCATCCTACTCACATCTAGGGGTGGCCCAAACCGGTTCGGCCTGGCCCGTAAACCGGCCCTGCTCGCTACTGTGCGGGCCCGGACCGGACCGGTTGGGGATGGACGGTTCCAGGCTTTAGCCCGGTTTGAACGGTTTGGGCGGGTCGGGCTCGGGCCCTATTTTTCATGAACCGGCCCAGGCGGTCCAGGCCGGGCGCGGTACATTTTTTTTGTTTTTTCAATTTTGTTTTCTTTTCCTTGGGTAGGGTTGGGTGTTTTGGGGGGTGGGGTGAGGGAAGGGGGTCGGGGGTTAATTACAAACAAAAAAAAATTACATTGAACCGGGCCCGACCCGACCGGGTTTGGCCCGGACCCGGTATCAACCCGGGCCGGTTCCGGGCCCAACATCCTGGGAAAAAAGCCCGGCTTGAACCGGCCCGGAGCCCAGCCCGGCCCAAGCCCGGAGCCCGGCCCGGCCCAAGCCCGGAGCCCGGCCTGGCCCAGGCCCAATCCATGCCTACTCACATCTAGTATAAAGAACAAAAGTTGGGCCTAAATTGTTTTACATGTATAGTTTGATCGCCTCAAATAAAACTACAAGAAAATTCCTTCACAATAAACACACACCACTTGGTGCTTGAGTGCTTCGTCCATATCCAAAACAGTCCATAGCCAATATAAAAGAAAAACTTTGTTCACGCTTGCAGTCACAATAAAAAAAAAACTTTGTTGAACAGCCACAGTCGATTGATGCAATAACTACATTAATGAGTCTAATTAGTCGGTCAACCGCGTCAGGGGTGTGTTTGAGAATAATTTTGTTCACCCCTAACGAGGTGAACAATTCATTTTAATTTAACAATTGTTATAACTTTTTCATTTTTGGTTCATTTTTTTTTCCAGAAAATATATCAATATTATTAATTTTTTATGATCTTTCATATGATATCAATATTGTATATGTACAATTTAAAAAAAAAATCCGGCAAAAAATAGGCTTAAGGAAAAAAAGACATTTTTTCAATTTTTTGTATGCAATATGGATATCATTGGAAAGATCATAAAAAGTTATTAAATGTGATACATTTTATGTGAAAATTAAATTACAAACAAAAAAGTTATCATAAAATTAAGAAACAAGGAAGTGTAATGCCAAATGACATGCATTGAAGGGAGAGGATAATATTCACTCCTTTAGAGAGGTGTACAATCGGAATACGTTTGTTTAACGTGTGCACACGACTGCGATCGTGCTCATAATATTGAACACAAACTGAAATCGTAGGATATAATTGATGGGATATTAAGGTCCGGCCCAATATACCGGCCCAAAATATCCCTAGGGCCCAGACACAAGGGAAAGTCCAGAGGAAATCAACGGGTCCGAACGGCAGAAGGCACGATTGTGCTGGAAAAAGGTGGAGGCAGAACCATCTTCAGTTTAACCGGTGCAGGGTCGGTCAAGTCCACTACTTCATCCGGACGGGGTCTCTACCGAGTTGACTCTACAATACCCCGAGGCTGAGCCTGTTGAGCAGGCTTACCGATGTCTATGGTAAGCTTGCTTTTCCCCTTCCCGACCGGGGGAGGCAAGCTAGAGTTGTCACATCCCAGACCACATCTAAGTGCGTGTACAACTGCCGTGTGATTAAGTGATGTCACTCGCAAATCAACCTCTCTTAATCACACAAGGCGTTCATGAACATCGTTCACACCATACTCAGTAAGTAAACATACATAACAACATCACATCATATATTGAATGAATAGCGGAAAATATTCAACGGTTATCATAAGCCACATATGGCAAAACGTAGGCTCGCAGGCCTAAAACAAAGTAATATTACAAAAAGTATCCATGGGCACAGTTTATGATTTAAAACAGTAAAGGAAGCACGAACCACGTCTTCTTCTAGATTCTTTTCACCCGTGCAAAGGTGTAGACAACAGGCTCTAGCTTCAAACTGAAATGGTGGCCCCCCCGAAGGGGTCAGTACAAGTACCGAGCGAGTAGCAAGCTAAATGTAGAGTAACTAACGTTTCAAGTATAAGACACAAACGTAGGGTGATACATATACTTATACATCTTTACCCCAAGTTACAAAATACGTATCGGTACTTTATATACACTAGGAAATACCCGACCCATAGGTCATTGTTTATTTGGGAAAAATAACAGTTGTCAATGTCCTTGACTTAAAACCACAACCCACCCATAGACCTATGAGTATGTAGGACTCCTCCTGTCCAAATCAAATAATCATAAGGACACCACCCGGTCCTGAATTACTAAAAAGTAATCAATGAGTTTTGAGGGTACACACCCGATCCTTGGGTACTCCACCCTATATAACCGAGTTTTGAGGATACCCGCCCGATCCCTGGGTACTCCACCCTATATAACCGAGTTTTGAGGATAACTCCCGATCCTCGGGTACTCCACCCGACATAAACGAGTTTTGAGGATACCTCCCGATCCTTGGGTACTCCACCCGACATAACCGAGTTTTGAGGATACCTCTCGATCCTTGGGTACTCCACTCGACCTATGATCTACCAGACTACCACAAATCATACTAGATAGGGCCTATATCATAATCAATACACAAGACTAAACCAAGTCTTAAGGCCTAAGCAAAATCATCCATGCAATTCATGCATGCAAAATCACATATAGGCAATATAAGGCCAAACCGGCGCTGGTTCTATGCATGACCGGCGCCGGTTGCCCCTGGACAACCAGTCAACTCTCAGTTGACCCGCTATTTCAAATCCAATATGTGTCAAACTTAATCACAACATGTATCAAGTTATAATCAACCATATTATGCACTATTTATCTCTAAACATATCACATATGTTTTTATAAACGTTTTCATATCCCAAATCATGAATATTTCAATGGTTCATTTCATACAAGCCTAATCACTTTGACTAATCACATGTTTAATCTCATTTAAACATTATTATGAACACATATAACATTTATGTAGGTAATCTCATGTTTAACCCAAAAGTTACAAGACATTAAGCCGGATCACTCACCTCAAATGAGCTTTAAGAAAGTCTACCATTCTTAGTTGAACTCCAGCGAACTCCGGCGAAACTCCGGAGAACTCTAGAAACACTTTAGTCAAGCTCCTAACATGATTTTATCATCACAAAACCCATATCAACAGAAATAACCTCTAAAAGGTTATTTTCCGGCGAACCAGTCATTTTAGCTTCTAAGTCCATTCTTGGACTTAGAACTACCTTTCAACCCATCATTCTACACTTCTAAATGTGTAGAATAATTATAGGGGTCCTCCATATGATATATTAGTCATATTATAGATAAGAAACAGATGAAAAGT